TCGATGTTCCGACATTTCAGCGAGTCATGCAGAATTTTGTTTTTGTCTACACCACATCATTACCAATGATGGCAGGCATATGTAATATGTCATAACTTGAATCCGAATATCTGTAGCGACGTTTACATGTTGAATAAAGTTTGTGCACTCAGTTGCTTTTAAATAATTTACGTTTTGCCTCATATAGCTCAATAATTGTCACCCTGCAACATCACAAATATGGCATAGTACTTGGACTTATGTGTAAAAAATCTCGTTATAAATTTAAGCTTGCAACAATGTTTACTTTGATCTAATAGAAAAAATGACATCTTATAATATTTTTATCCCAGCTAGTAGAACAAGGTTGATTTAAATGTCAGAAACCATTTTTATTATGAAATACTAACAATGTTTATAATTGAGGAGCAAATAAACCACGCAAGCTTGAAGCAATGTTAAAATTAACCATACTAGTTCACGGATAATGTGATTCGCATAATGCTTACAGAAATAATCTTTTTATATCGAGATTGAATGTACTTTCAAAATGAAATTAGTAAAACGTTTGTCGCAAGGTTGCCTGCCATCTGGGATAGTTCGAATATTAGTGAGAGATATATCCCTTGTTTTACTTTTTAAAAGTTATCAAAAAGTTGTGAAAAAATTTTTAAAGTCTAGAAAAACATAAAGTTTTAAATATTATGTTTTGTGAAATAGATCTAAAACTCTTACTACTTAGTATAATTCATCTTTTGCTGCATTTGAACCTTAAACTTATTTGGACATATAATTATAAATTTAGCAACCAAACCATACGTAACTTATTAATTTAGTATCTGACAAATTTGTAAAGTTTTCTAAATTAAATTGATAATGTCGAGTCCGAAGAGATGTATAATATGTCTCGTTAACAAAACTGTGCTACCTGAGCTCTTGATGTATATAGCTATACCGGGTCATCTATTTAATGCTTAGTAAATCCTATTATGCGTATTTGTAATTCACGTTTGTTATAGAAGCAAATGTAAGATAAGATATGGAAGTAACCAAGCATGGAATTCATGATATTGAAATATTAGAGGGAGGATTTAGTTCTGTCGTTAATAATCCAAATATTCAAATGCTTGATGTGGAATGATGTAATGTGTAAACGTAATCGTTTCGGAGATATTTAAATAATGAGTCATCATTAAGCGATTCTAACGCAAAATGTTATTCTTAAAGATATTTATTTTGATATGTTTGGAAGTTAACAAATATGTAGTTATCAGAATCTATGGAAAATTCTGACGATATAAAAGAAGTAATAATATAGGATTTTAAATTAATAAGAAATGGTTTCATACTTTTAATACTTATGTATGCATTGCTCTTAAAAAAAATTAAGACTTTAATAATACGTTAAACAGTGTTTTCTTTATCTGTTACTCGTATTTATTTTTTGAATTCTGTTTAAAAATGAAATAAAAGTATGCCCATTATTTTGCATCCATTACTTTTTTGTGCGGGGAAAAACATAAACGTAGGATTTGAAAGGAAGACAGGATTGAAAAAAAAACTTGTTGGACGTTTAGAGGAAAGTGTAAAGCATATATTAGAAACTCCTCGATGTTTCATCAGGTTATAAAACAGGTTTTTATGTTTTTCATCCGGTTTTCTGAATACTGTTTCGATAGATTTGAAAAATGCTATAATTTTCCTTCTCATTTAAATATAAAATTGCTTTATTTAAACTTCATTTTTGACATGGATTTCGAAAATATGTATTAGGAACGGTTATCGAGTTGTTGATTTCGGCATATTTAATATTAATTCACTAAACAATTATAATCATGGGTTAAATATTTAAAATAAATGTTGAATAGCGTAAATTGAAATTTTGATGTTGAGAGCTCAAAATAAGCGAACATTCAGAACAACATTTGACGCAATTATCTGATTTTCGCGTATTAATCGACTGTTACGGTTGAACTCCTTTCTAAATATGCTTATTAATAATTGCAGACGACATTTTAAGATACGAAATCAGACTTAAAGAGTATCTTCCATGAATAAGCATAGTTATTTTTTTGACGGATTATTGATTCTCAAAATATTGGGGTACCCGTAATTTAGAAAATGTAGTCCCAATAATTTAGGCAGATGAGCGGTCAAAAATTGATGCCTCTGCTTATGAAAAAAATATATAATAATAATTATATATTTTTTTTAATTTTTTGCTTTTTTCAACATATCTCCGGAACTAAAGAGTTGAAGCAACATTTCTTTGTACACAATTATAAAACATGTTTATCCAAAAATATTTCAACGTATAAGAAAAATTATATATTTTTTTATTTAAGTTCTTTTCGGTCGAAAAATTTGTATTGTAAGGCGTATAAACTTTTCAATCGATTGGATCTACGTAATTTTAAATGTCGAAGTTCAAAATTATAAAAGAAATAGGTTCTTTAGTTCTTGAGAGAAAAAAATTAGAAATACTTCTTCTTTGGAATTTTATTACTAAGAAACTATTTCACCCAATTTATTCGAATTTTATTTTGTATTTAAAATTACAGAGTTTAAAATGTTGTGTACTTTTCAGTAGTTCTATACCCTTCAGCTGAAAAATAACATAAAATTATAAATAGTTTTTAATATTTTTTTTAAATGATTTATCTTTGGATAAAATAATTTCATAAAGGTGTATAAAACTAATTTGATTCACTGAAAATTTTTTTTGAAGCAATGCAAAATATGAAACCAAAAAAAAAAAAAAAATTAAAGAATANAACAAAAAAAAAAAAAAAGAAAAAATTAAGGAATAAAAGATTTAAGCTTTCGACTACTTTTCTGACTAAACTGTTGAGACCATATTTTTCAGATTATAGCTATGCCCCATATCTCGATAGTCGAAAATCTAGAACCGTAAAAAAACTGTTAATTCTGGGAGAGGACTTTTCTGTCTGATTTCTGAACTTTAAATATCTTCTGCACTAATTTATTAGCACATTTAAGGTTAGGCCCTTGTCCCATTAAGATTTATTTGAGTAAGTTGACTATTTATTTTAGTAAGTGAAAATCCCATTATTAGATTAAAAATTATTCAGGGTGTTGGCTTTTTATTTTGTACATTGTATGAATAACTATACATTATTAAATTTATTATTTGCGTATCTTAAAAGAGTTAAAAATTGACGTCTGTCAAAATAGTGTAAGAAAACGCAGTTGTAAGATAAGAATTTGAAATAACCAATCATGGAAATTAGGGATTGAAATATGCGAAGTGGAATTTATGTCTTTCATTAATAATGCAAATCTTCAAATGCTTTAAATGAAATAATGTAACGTGTGGATATAATCATTACGTATATATTTAATCAATGACTCATCATTAAGCAGTTCTAAATATTTGTTTTGAAACATTTATACTTTGGTAAATCTATTGCTGTCATAGATTATCAAGACAACGTAATAAAAGAAATGGTAGAATATGGTTTTGACCTTATTTGAGCAAAGAATTTGGGTGTTAGCGACACGCATCTAATATTTATTTGCTTTATTGAAACTCAAAAATAAATTCTCTAAATATTTCATGAGATTTGAATAGATTGTGCTTAATGAAAAGGGCTTTAAAGTGGTTAATAATTTCAAAGTCTTAATGTTTTCAAACTTTTTTAATATGGCATAAAAAGTTCTTTAGTGATCTTGCTTGGTTATTATTTCTTGCGCATGTTAGAAAAAAATGCACGCGTTTACGTAAATCAGATAAGTTTTTCTAAAAATGTTATCAGGTTTTCTTAGTTAAAAATAAAAATTAAATCCTTGTTAAGAAACACCTCTCTGGGCTATACAAAAAACTGATTTTTTTATTTTTACGTGATTAAAAAACATGAACTACTAAATTCATAAGTTAAAACTTGCACAAACGAAAAAAATACAGGTATTTAAAATCGAGGTAATTTAATAGATTTGATAAACAATTTGATAGCCAGTACGCATATATATGTAATTTTCCCTTGCGTACTGGGTGATTCTGTGAGGTGTTTGCAAACCAGGGTACCAGTAACCGCAAATGTTGTCGCGTGCCACTGCGGTCACCCTTCCAATATGAACTGTTGTTCATTTGCAATTAAATGAGTACTTTCAATTATCTAAATTATCATAATTTTATCTAATCCTTTTTAACAATTATTGCCCAAAATTGCATTACATGCACTCATATTTAGCCTTTTTTCTTAGTTTTATTAGCTGGCAATTAACATGTTCAGTTTAGCAACTCGTTTGCGAAATATGCAAATTGAGATGTAACTGCTGTTTCTATGTTTTTTTTAAATGTAACATTCGATATGCAATAATTAAATTAAATAAGCGAAAGTGTGCAAGAACGGCGAGTGTTGTAATAGGGAAGCACTCCCAGTGATGTACACTGCCATTGCCAAGCATGTGTTGCTATGCAATTTTGATTTCTATTGTCCTACAATTGTCATTCCTAGATGACCTACCTTCTATTTTCCTTCTATTTTTGCAGAATAATATATTCCATATCAAATTACGGTATAAAGTACAAGAACTTTAGGTGTTTTATCCGTAAAACTCATTTCACCGTCAAATCCATTTCAACCGTAAAATATTATACCGTAAAAATTATGGCATATGAGATTTTTTTGTTCTGTACATGTTCCGGTAAAAGTGAATTTTACGGTAAATTGTAAGGGACTGATACTTTTTAATCCGGGAATTTTTTTAAACTGTAACCACTGTACTGAAACACCCTATATAGTTTCTTATAATGTTAAAAACATTTTTTCTTTTCTCTCAAAATATTACAGTTATATTTTCCTTAACTCAACATAATTTTTTTAGTATATGGTAAATCCATTTTTTTAGTGATGAAAAAAAATACTAATCTAATATAGGGTTAACTTCGTTAAAATTTAAAAAAAAAAACATCGAGTAACTCGGAGTTAATTTATGATTATGTTATTTTATTATATTTTAAATATTATTTAGTTATTGATGTTAAAAACCAAACATACATCAACTTTAATGCCTTGTAAAGGGAAGAATTGTCCCGGAGGCCGGTCGGTCGGGACGTATCTGAAGAACTCCACGTCATCTCTGTACCATTTGATGGAGTAGAGGACATCACCTTCCAGGTCATAACCACAAGTTAATTTAATTCCTTGACCTCGGGCAACTTTCTCAGGAACATCTAAGGATACTAGTCTCAGGCTTACAGTACCTAGAAAAATTACAGAGTGTCACATATCACCCAAGAGATGACGAAAACTATTTTTCATCTTTATTCTTAATTATAAGAGCTCTTTTATGACACATAAAAGACATTAAATCAAGTGATTTAAATTAAGAAATATGGTATTTTAGGTGTACAATATTTTTATGAATGCGTTATAATTTTTAAAGATTTATTTTAATCCATAAGTGGCCACGGTTTTTTTTCATGAGTCTGTTCTAATAATGCTTCATAAGCTTAAGGAAATTAGTTTTTCGACATTAATTACTTTTAAGTCAATGGTTTTGTGCATTATTTTTTAACAATGGCAAGACGTTTAAATTTTTAGGTTGATATTGTAGCCTTTGTTTTCAAGTCTAACTTGTAAGTTGTTGTGAGTTAAGTTCAGAAAAAAGAAAAGCATTGAACTTAGTGTTTTTATTATTGAGATAGTATGCATTCAGTATATATTTTGGTAAATGCAATACTCTTTTTTGAGAGTTCAACACATCTTATTTAGCACAATGCTATATTTTTGAGTAACCAGATTGAACAGGAAATATAGCATAAAATAAAAACAGTATGAGCGAAGGGAGTTTCAGTCAAGTCCAGGATTTGAACCGGGAAGCTAGATTGACAAGCAAGCGCGCAAATTACTGGACCATCCAATCATACGGTGTAAGTGGGTTAAAAATTAAATAATAAATAAATAAAATAAATAAACGTCGTCCTGCTCTGAAATCATACTCAATTCCGTCAAATATTTTGGATTTCGTGATTCGCCAAAAATTACGCTTTTTTTCTAACGAAATACTTGCGAAAATAACGAAATACAGCTCAAAAATTGCTGAATCATCAAAAATATATATTGTGATATTATTGCAAAATCATGCTTTTTTTCATGAATGGGAAAAGCAGACTAACTTTGCTGTCTTACTGACAAATATTAAATGGTTTTAAAAGTTTGATCGACTATTATCTAATACCATACGACTGAAAGACCATGACACTATTAGTATACTTTGCGTGTTTAGCAAATGAGACGAGCAATTTACTATAAATATAAAACGTTCAAAATATTTTTTTTAGTTTTGAAGTTTTTGAAGTGTGCTTCAAAAAGTAAAAACGTACACACAAATAGTATAAAAAGAAGTTTTTTTCTTTATATAATACAGTTTTATTATGTTAAATAGTTGTGCTTTTTCATACATTTGAGTTTGTACTGCTTGCTAATTTTTAACAAGGTTAGGTAGAGAGCCGAATTTTCCACTATAACCAGTATATTATTATACATTAATTTTAGCACTAAATGCACTATAGTTTTTTTTAAAAATTCACAGCACTTATTTTAAAAATTAGCAGTTTTTCACGATTTTGTTATAGTTACTTATGTTGTTAATTATGTATCGCAGATAAGAAAATGAATTCAGAAAAGTCTTATTAAGTATTGAAATGAAATAAGAGTAACAATATACAATTAATACAAACATTTAAAATTGCTACATATTGTTTTGTAATCAAAATTGGCATACAAAGCTATTTATGAAATATTAACAAAATATGTAAATTATATGAAATGAAAATTCGGTATTCAAATCACAAAGCATAAATTATGTTATTTAAACTGCCAGACACGGTAATAAATAAGTGCTTAGTGATAAATATATTTCGAGATATCTAGATTTAGAAAAATTTGTCTTAATATCAAATTTGTCTTCAGAAAAATTTGTCTTAAATATCATTTAAATAGGAAGAAAAAAAGTAAATATACTACGTATATTGTCAATAAGATTTCACAATTTTATTTTCCCCAGACGAGCAATTGATAAAAGAAAGAAAAGAAGACAAATTAACGTGTTCTTACTGTCTCGAAAGAACATGTTCGCATCTATTGTAAGTAAAAATATCGGTAAAATGGTCTACTTAATCTTCTAGCATTTTTCAAATAGGAAATACATCAGAAAATAAAAAAGAAAGATTTCTTTAGTTCTATCAATTGAAAATGTTCATTTTATGTTGAGAAGGGTTTTGAACAATATATGTGTACTTTTTCTTCTTATTTTAAATAATTGAGGTAGAAACACAGCTTCAAAATAAATTTGTTTTGTTGTTTAAATATAGTTTCGAAAGCAAACGCTTCATTGGTTGGTAAACTTTTTATAAAGGTTTTTGTAAATTAGGAAATAAATTTATTTTCGTTGTAATGAACATAACTGAAATTGTTTTTGATTTCAGTTAGAACTGGGAAATTTATAAACTTTTTAATCTATAAGTAAGTTTTACCATTGCTTGTTGCAAATGTATGTTTTTGTAAGTTGTGTTTTATTCTCTTTTGGTAAAGCCAAAAAGGATAAAAGGTGAAATTTTTCTAGTTATAATGTTTAAAATTTTTATTAAAAATTTATCTTTTGTTCTATAATATCATTATGACCTAAATTGTTACACTGTGAAAAATGTCTGTGTATCTTAACACCAAAATAGTGGTAACTTCTTTACACCAAAATGGTGTTTCACTGCACCAAGAATGTTGTAAAGTAGCAGCCACCTTTGTTTGTATTCAGTTGCAATAAAATTTATCAAATAGTAAAGAAGATACACAAAAGAGCCAGTAAATGGACTTATACGACACAATATAACGTAAAAATCATAAAATTTAGAATGATATATATACTAATTCATAAAAATAAAATTAAATTGTTAAACTTACGCGTAGCACAGAGAGAACATGCAGACAAACTCGAACCATGCTTAACAGAACGGAAACTGATCGAAATTATAAGTGATAAAATTACTTAAAACAGTACACAGAGATTTAAAAAAAATATATATAACTATCCTTATTTCACAACTGCAGACATGCATACCTATTATAATAACGAACAACAACTTGGTTAAACTTTGCATTATATCCTAAATTTTTAAATTGCATTTAATAAAAAGTATGGTTGAGAAAAATAGCATTGTGATGAAAAAATAAAGCAGTGATAGGAAATACTACGATTGGATTGATTTGACAACAAATGAAAAATCTTTAAGATTTCTGAAGAGCTAAATTCAATTATTTGTTTTGAGGATACTCGAGTTGATCTTAAGTTATTTCCAAAAAATGTTTACTCTGCATTAAGTAAGAAATAGATTCTGCAGCAAATGCAAAATCCCAGTGACGCAGTGGAAAGATGTATTACTTCTGTCTTCTGTATCTCCGGTTTAACAGTCACGTCAAGCCAGAAAGTTTTTATGTCTGCGTCTTAAATAAATTTTTTTCCTTCAAATATTTTGAAGTTTTTTTCTGTTTCTTTTTATTGTACACTTTTTTGAGTTTACCTAAAGTTTTGTGAAGTTTATTTTCAAGTTATAATTATTTTCTGAAGGAAGGTAAAATTATTAGTAATGAACATTTTCTATTGCATGGTCCTTAAAAAGTAAACCTCGATAAGATGTAAGAAGTAAAAATAGGAATAAGACATGAAATATTTTTATTGGATGCTTTGTAGTAGTTATCTATTTGAAATGAAAATAAAGTTAGAAAGGCTGAACATAAACTTGTATATCACCTTTGATAACTTTTGTTGTGAGAATCGGATTTTCACGAACTAAAAACCTATCTTAATGATTCAAAAGGTTATCTTTAAATATTCTAATATGATAATTCATTAATGCTAATTTTTAATCAAGTAATGGAATCTTGCACAAAATACTTTATTTTGAATAAGCATACTTTTTTTCAATGCATTGGTATTTTGTTAATTATTAAAATAAGGGGAGTAGCAGAAACTTGGAAAATATGATCCAATTAGTTATATCAGAAGAACGGTTGAAAGTTTAGGCTCCTTAATATTAATTTAGTTTTTTGCAATTTTGGTTAATTCTTCGAAACTTGTAGTGCAATCGAACATATTTTTACACACACTTATGAAACTCGTTTACTCAGAGATATTTTTACGAAATAAATACTTTTTTTTTAAAAAAGCAATTTATTCTTTATTATTTCCTTAAATAAAAGTCGAAAGAATTAGAAATGTGAGACACACAAAATTTTACATTATTTCAAATTATGTAATTTGAAATGATGAAATAACAAACTTCGTTCGAATCAGACGAAAAGTTTGCTCAATGCAAAAGTTGTGATGTAATATCTCTCTGAATAAGATATTGAACAACCAAAAAAAATTGCTTGGGGCAACTTTTCAAACTTTTTATTACGGGTTAACACAAAAATGCCCCCTAAATATACGATTTAAAGGATGTAATTTAAATCTAAAAACACATAACCTTATTTTCAACTCTGTTATTCATTAGCAGAAACAAATATTTGTCGATAAATATGTATGCAGTTGCATTATAAGGATAATATTTTAATTTCTAAATCTCTGAGAGCTGTATTAACTAATTTTGTAATGCGCAATTTTTTTCTGCTTCCGTTCTGTTGCACCTAGTTCGAATTCTTAATATTCTCTGTGTGCTACGTGTGGACTGCAAAAAATTTTGCTACTATTTTTGGAGTTGAGGTACACTAAACTTTTTCTACCACATTTTTGTAGCCACATTTTTTCTTTATTTTCTTCTCTGTTAGATTTTCTTATTTATATGTTTGTTTGTTTATTCATAACATACAGCTTCATGAGCATTATAATAAATTTATAACTAGGTTACAAAAAAAAAGACATTTACTTTAAAAAATTGCTATTATTTGTTGAGCTATTATTGTGTTTGATAAATGAATGTGTGTTTTGATAAATGAATCAAGTTTCAAATGAAAAACAATGATCAGGTATTCTCAATTATATATAGATATTTAAATATCGGAAATGAAGAAAAATAAACTAAATTAAATATGGAATGTTTTTATTTGAAATATACTGGATGAACAAATAACCAGAAGACATTTTTCAATGTTTATGAGAAGCATTTAATGAACTGATATCAAGGTAGTGTTAACTCGTTTGTGTGAATTATCGGTAGTTAGAAACGTAAAGTAAGTAATATGAAAAATTTAGCACAGTTTCAAA